TCAACATGTTTAGTCTGATGAAAGATTAAATATATATGTGAAAATCCCGATTTTATGTAATAAATAAAAATCTATTTCTCTAGCTACGGTGCACAAAGAGCTGTTTTGAGTTATATATATATATATATACCCGCATTTTGACCAAGGTGAGAGAGCAAAGAATGAAGAAAATACCACCTACGCTACTCCCAAAGCCCCAATCTTGAATGTTTTAATTTCAGAACGGCTCAGTAGCGATTGTATGGGCCAAGACCAATACTAAGATCTCATATGCAAAGATACAAACACAATCAACAATTTGTTTATAAGTTCATTTTTAACGAACACAAAAACAGCCAGAGCAATTAAGCAAACGGACCATTTCACATTGAATGATGTGTGAGCGCGCTTGAAAATTTATTTATAACATTGATTTTCCAGTGTTGTTCTCATATTTTCTTGGCTCTAGAATAATGCGTATGCGTACGCTTAGCATTCACGGCCATATGCTGGACAGAAAAATAAAATATTCATTTCTGTCAATTTTCTTGTATGTTTTTAATGCGCGTGCGCAATGACAAATTTCATCATCCGATCGAAAAATCTCAAAACAGTAAGAATGTACATCGGTCGACTTTTATTCGAAATCAGTTATGACTTTTACGAATAAACGAATGTTCAGTTATTTGGATTTCGTTTAAAGTAGTTTTTTACTGTACATATCGTCATTGACCCATAAAAGTACACAACGGACCAGAAACGATTAAACGATATTTAAAGGAATGAAGAAAATTTAAATCAGGCACACAATAACTTAAATTACTGCCTTCTCATAGTAATCTCTTTTGTCGACCAAAAATGTATTCATTAATTTCGGTTCAATAATTATTTAAAAGAGAAAATCACTTTCTAAAGCAGTGTGTGAAACATAAGCGTCGCCAGAATGTCGCGATTTCATCTAAGAAAATCAGAATCACCTGTACCAATGCAATTGCATACGACGAATAAATTTCTCAGCGCAAATGTTACTTCTTAATTTTATTTATTTGTTTTATTGTCTTTCGGCCTTGACAAATATTTGTGCTTTTGCTGGCGACGCAAAGGCACTTTAAGAAAAATATTTTACATAACGAAAGCCGACGCGTGAGCCCGTTCATTTGCATAACATTTGTATGATGCGAGTTAAAAGCATTTGTTTGAGCACCTTTTGTTCTCTTATTAGTACGGGGAACGGTTTCATTTTGTCTCTTCCTTTCATTACTTCTGCTATCATACAGTAAAAGAACATGACGTAGTTTGAATTCAGATAAATTACACGATTGATACAAGAAAAGCCATTGGTCATGCTCTCTTCTTGTTGAACTTTTATCGATGCATATGATCGTCATTGGTTAGAGATAATTAAGTCTCAATGAACACATGCCTATCTTGATTCTAGTTGCATCTTCTTTTTTTAAACTAGATTGACTTTCACATCTTATGATCGAACAATACAATAAGCTGCAGAAGGAAAAAAAGTCGAAAAATCTTCTTTAAATTTTACATTCTGTGACTCAATTGAGTAGGTGATATTTTTGGATCACGAAAATGAATTTGCATTAATTATTTTTATATAAATAACATCTATCAATGGTTGAAATTGGCTATAAATTAATAAATTCGAATATTGAACACAAATGTGAAATCTAAAACCGAAATTTATGATATATTTGAATGCTACTGACAATGAACTAGCGTGTTGGCATTGTTTTTGTTATTTTTGGAGACCAACCAACTGTTTCAAACGATGATGCATATAGAACTTCAAAAATAGAGATCAAACAAATGAGTAAGTAAAATGACTTTGAAGTGTTTTGCTTTTACTTTGAAAGCAAGTTGCTGTACGTTGAATGAATGTGTGCATTAAATTGGCTGTAAATTTAACGAAAACGATCTTAATGCTAATTGGTAATGAGAAATTGGAGAAAATGACAGTGTTATCAACTGACAAGTTTATCGTAACCAGTGGTTTGAAATACACTGGGATCAATTACATTTCGTACGTGTTTATGTGCGCGCGCCTTTCGTGAATTAAAACTAGACAATAAAAAGTGGTTGATTTCGCTGTTTTCTATTTCGACGCCTCTCATTTTCTCCTTGCGGTACATTATCTTTGGCTTTCACAAAAAAGAAACAAAACAAAAAAAAAACGGGCAACGGTACTGCTTAATTTATTGATTTCTTTACAATTCGAATACAAAATACAGAACATCGCATTCATACAATTGAGCTTCCGTATATCTCTTTCAAACGGGGATAACGTATTCAATCCAATCAAAATCCATATCATTTTGAATGAATTGTGTCTTTATTGTTTGCGGTTGCATATCATTTTCACTGCTTTGGCTTTTTAGCGATCGCATTTTTGCAAACAAGAAGATATTTTAAGCATCTAGCGGTCAATTCATCGGTGTCAATTTTATGCATTGAATGAATTCGATCTCTTTTCATGATAACAATATCTCTTTTAAATTGTATATCGACTTTTCTTGAAAAAACTGAAAGAAAAAAACATACAAACACTGTTCGATAAACACACAGTTATTGAAGCCATCGAGATATCTTCCATGTCTTTTAGAAAGGTGTTTTGATTTGATAATGTGTTGCAATTATTTTTTTTGCAGAAGAGCATGCGTTTAAATTTTTTCTTTCTTTTTTGTCTGCAAGCAAAACATTGTGAGTAGCATATGACGTATGTTTTAGACATTGCAAAAGTCACAATTAGTTGCCGTAACCAAACAAGTACAAATTGAATGTATAGATCCATTGAAATCAGGTTTTTTACGGTATAACCATTATTTATAAAAGACTTCAATGTTTCGACTTTTCACCATTGTTGGGTTTACTTATTTCTTTCTTTGTAACCAGACAGACACTTATCCATTGAATCGACAATGCATTTCACTTTGATAATCTATGTAAAAGTGACACACAAGTTGCACTTAAGATTAGAGAGAGTCCGTATCTGCATACATTATCAAAAAGCAATTGAAATTTATTCGATTTAAAACGTGCGAAACGTCCAATCAATTTCCCTGTAATCAATCTCAGATTGAAAATACGCATGCAATTACTGCGAATCGACTCAATTAAAATGTATGCAATTGTACAAAATACAGTATATCCATTCAATCAAAATAATCCTCATTTCGACCGCACCCAATGCCAATGCCATTGCCAAAGTAATGTATAATGTATGCGTGTACATGTGCACATGAAAGAAGTGGAAAAAATCCACGCGCACTAAAATCATTTATAACCGTAACATTGGTTCTGCATATACAACGGGCACACAATCACCATCAATATATGTGATTATTTCAATCGAATAGCGCGGCCGGCAGCTCACTTGAAAAACCAATTATATTCAATCGGATTGTACCGGTTTTCTTTCTTCGATACTATTGACCACATGACTTTTGCTATCGATATCATTATGCTTATAACTTTATTAATATTTCGAAAAAAATAACTGGCTGTTGGGCACAGAAATGAGAAACGAGTCTTCTATTTGATTTCATTTATAAACGAAAGTGTAGACTTGCAAAATTCCTGACGTTTGTACATATTTAGTATGAATTATTCGCACTGCATTTGACCGCATTTCAGAAAAAGCATTTGTAAGATACGATATTATTAAATTTTTTTTTCGTTTTTTGATAATGTCTAAAAACTTAGCGCGCCACTGTGTTGACAAACATAGCATTTTCAACAAACCCAAAACTCATTATCGCGGGCGCATTTGGCGTCAAGTACAATCTTAGCGTAATCTTTTTCTCAGATTTATTTGTTTTTTTATTTTCTTTATCAGTCAAACCGTGATGATCAACATCTTCTAGGTTAATGAATGTTTTTCTTTCGTTTCTCTCTCTGCCCACTAATCACATCAGAATCACGAGAAACGAAAACAATCATTTGCAAATTGAGGCAAGAGAATTCGTTGTGTGTGTGTGTGCATGAGCACTGAGACTTGGATATTTAAGTCTTCAAAGTCATGTGAATTTTTATTTCACTATTTAATCGCACGAAAAAAAAACTCGAAATTAAAATGCTTCGAATAACTTTTCGGTTTGCATCTAATTTCCCCATTTATTTGGTTTGCTACTCAATTAATGTCTTAATATTGTTATTGTTTGTAAATGGTGTTCTTCTATACATTTTTTTCTCTATTCATTGTGTTCAAACCTATTTTTGCACATTTGTGTGCTGTCAGTTAGACAGTGAATTGGAATAAGAGCCAGCGGCGTGCGTGCACCGCATTTATATGATAGGCAAATAATTTTTGCAAACAAATACAAAATTGCATTTCGTTGCATAAATCTACAGAAAACAATAATAAAGCACTAGCCTTCATACAGATCAACACAAATTAGACAATACAATTATATCCAATAAATTGAATGAAATATTTTTTTTCTTTCTCTGTCACGCTTATCCTCTATCTCCATAATTGAAATAATTTTAATTAGTCTGATGAAAGAATTACAGTTCAGAAAAACAAAATAACAACAATCAGCGGTTAAAAGCTGTAATCAACGTATATGCGAGTTGAATTGTTTACTAAGTTGGTTGTGTAGTATGAAAAAAGAAGAAAAATTCTTCTCTTGTCATCGAAACATCATAAATTTGAGCGTTTTCCGACAAATATATTCATGTTTATGCATCGTGTACCATCTTTTCTATATGTAAATAGAAAATTGGCATCTCAATCGAATTGTTTCCCATGACTTCATTGTTGTGGTTCATTACATTTTGTTGTTATAAGATTCACGAATTTAAATTGCACTATAATGAAATAATAAAAAAAACAGTCAGTCGTTTTAACTCTGTGGGGCTGATGATCACATTAATGAAGCATTGTATATCGAAAATGAGTTCATGTTGTTCATTGGGTTCAATCAACTTTACCGAAAATATGTTCGTTGTTTACCTATTTCGTTTTTCTTCTCAAAATTAACCGAAACAATGTTATTTTTCGACAGACATTCACGGCCTGGTGTAACAGCCATTTGAGAAAAGCTGGCACGGCCATCGATAACATCGAAGAAGATTTCCGCAATGGGCTCAAACTTATGTTGTTGCTCGAAGTCATCTCTGGCGAAACATTGCCAAAGCCAGACCGTGGTAAAATGCGATTCCACAAGGTAAGTTACTTTCTTTTCTTATTCCATTTACAGACTTCAAACGATGCCATTTTCTTTGACATAAAAAGAAACCCATTCATTTTCCAACATGCCATAAACATTTTATGAAATTGTCATCATTTTTCAGATTGCCAATGTAAACAAAGCTCTTGACTTTATCGAAGCCAAAGGTGTTAAATTGGTTTCAATCGGTGCCGAAGAAATTGTCGATGGAAATCTTAAAATGACTTTGGGTATGATTTGGACCATCATCTTGCGTTTCGCTATTCAAGATATTTCGGTTGAAGAAATGACCGCTAAAGAAGGTTTGCTGTTGTGGTGCCAACGTAAGACTGCTCCATACAAAAATGTAAACGTACAAAACTTCCATCTCAGTTTCAAGGTGAGTATCTCTATCGATTATTCAATTGTAATATGCAATTCAAGTGCAATATTCATGCGATGATTATTTTAATTTATTTAGGATGGTCTTGCTTTCTGTGCTTTAATCCATCGTCACAGACCCGATTTGATTGATTACGGTAAATTGTCGAAGGACAATCCATTGGAGAACTTGAATACAGCATTCGATGTTGCTGAAAAATACTTGGATATCCCAAGAATGTTGGATCCAGAAGGTAATTTGGTCAAAAATTTATCATGTTTTCAAAATGAAAGCATTAAAAATCAAATCAATATTTTCTCTTTTCAAACAACAATTCTTCTGTTCAAACCATTTTATTTTCTTTCTCAATCGCACTTGGTGACGGTCAACAACTACAATATAAATAAATTTGGTTGACACTTTCAAAATTGAAACGTATACATTGAACGTTGGTGTACTGTGTATATACCATACACCCAATAGATTTGATCAATACACCAAAGCCTGACGAACGTGCCATCATGACCTATGTCTCGTGCTACTATCACGCGTTCCAAGGAGCTCAACAGGTTAACACTGAGCATCTTCAAAAACCACAAGTTCCCTATCAATCATACCAAGCACCATACTACAATAACAATGTGACTAAATCGTTCCACTTTGCACACACAGCACAAACACACAAAATCAAATTCGGCCCGATCAGTACAAAAGAAACACGTGACATATACAAGAAAAATCATTCGATGCTATTAAATGAACGGACGCTCATTGCCCTTTGATATTTTTTTTAATGAATTGTTTTTTTTCGCTCTAAATCTTCTTCGCTATAGTTTTATGTGCATTTTTGCCGATTTTTTCTGACTACGAATGCAAACAAAATGAAGCGCTGCTTTACCAATATAAATCATAATTTTCATGACATTTTCATAAGCGAGACTCAAATTATGAAAACTCCTCTCCGCCAACAATTTCTAATTTCAACTCCTAATTATGTTTAAAAAATAAATGTTGAAGATTTTTCTTGGTTTTCTTTGGCAAAAATGTCAATTTTTCAATTGAACAAATTCAATTTAAATGAGTTTCGATAATTTTTTTGAACTAAAACAAAACTTGAGTTTTCACTATCTAAAAAAACAACTGATTTTTAAACAGACACAATCATTAAACACAACATACCGCTCGCACAAAAACACTATACATATAACACACTATGCTCACTTGACTTTTGCCGTTTTCTTTTTAGCATGAACTAAACCGCAACTAACTCAAATCCCACTAACTCAAGCTCAATTTCTTCCCATTTTCGATATGTTTTTCTTTGTTGTTTGAAATGGAAATGTTTTCTTACGTCTTTCTTTAATTTTTGACTTATGAATATTCATTGCCGAGTGTTTCGGTGTTAATTCTTAATCTAACTTTTGCATTTGTTTTTTTTTTTGCTTAAATTAACCCGTTTGTTTGATGTTGTTTTACCTTTTTTTTCTGTGTGAATGAATAAATTATAGATCTGCAAAATACAGCGATGCCAGACGAGAGAGCCGTTATGACATACGTATCGTCATATTATCATTGCTTTAGTGGAGCTCAAAAGGTATTTTTTATTCTAAATGAGAAATGTCCATATGTCGAACACAACGAATTGAACAATTGTACGATGAACGCTGGATTCTTGCAGTTCACCAAAAATTGAACAAACTAAACTAACGCTCTTTTTTAATGCTTTGTTTTTTGCAAATTTGTTGAATTGTATTTTTCTGTATATGTCTCCTTTTAGTTTGGTCATCCATTCTTGGAAAATTTGAGTAGAAATATTAACTAATCTTAAATTTCTTGATTGAATAAAAATTAGGCCGAAACTGCTGCCAATCGCATCTGCAAGGTGTTGAAGGTCAACCAAGAGAATGAACGTCTCATGGAAGAGTATGAACGTTTGGCCAGTGATGTAAGTTATATTTTTCGCATAATTTTTATTTTGTTCGCTCGATGAACATTTCCTGATGTACTTTTTACATTTTTTCATTTGTAGTTGCTTGACTGGATCAAACGTACTATGCCATGGTTGAACTCGCGTCAAGCTGACAACTCATTGGCTGGTGTTCAAAAGAAGTTGGAAGACTACCGTACGTACCGTCGTAAGCATAAGCCACCACGTGTCGAACAAAAGGCAAAATTGGAGACCAACTTCAATACTTTGCAAACGAAATTGCGCTTATCGAATCGGCCAGCCTATATGCCAACCGAAGGTAAAATGGTTTCGGACATTGGTAATGCCTGGAAGGGTTTGGAATTGGCTGAGAAAGCATTTGAAGAATGGTTGTTGGCCGAAACGATGCGTTTAGAACGTCTTGAACATTTGGCCCAGAAGTTCAAGCACAAGGTAAAATGACATTTTATCCAATTTCCAACTCCGATTTTAATGTTATGATTTCATAGGCCGATACGCATGAGGATTGGACCCGCGGCAAAGAAGAAATGCTTCAATCGCAAGACTTCCGTCAATGTAAATTGAACGATTTGAAGGCTTTGAAAAAGAAGCACGAAGCTTTCGAATCCGATTTGGCCGCCCATCAAGATCGTGTTGAACAAATTGCTGCCATTGCTCAAGAGCTCAAGTAAGTCAATGCGATCAAAAAACCAAAATTCGAATTAATTTATAACTTGTTTGCTTTTTCTTCGGTCATTTTTAGCACTCTTGAATACCACGATTGCGTATCAGTCAATGCTCGTTGCCAACGCATTTGTGATCAATGGGATCGTCTTGGTGCATTGACTCAACGCCGTCGCCAAGCTCTTGATGATGCTGAACGCATCCTTGAGAAGATTGACATTTTGCACTTGGAGTTCGCCAAACGTGCTGCACCATTCAACAACTGGTTGGATGGAACACGCGAAGATCTTGTCGACATGTTCATTGTGCACACAATGGAAGAGATCCAAGGTCTCATTCAAGCTCACGATCAATTCAAAGCAACGTTAGGCGAAGCCGACAAAGAATACAATGTTATTGTTGGTTTGGTACAAGAAGTCGAAAGCATAGTCAAACAACATCAAATCCCAGGCGGTTTGGAAAATCCATACACAACATTGACATCACACGACTTGAATCGCAAATGGACCGAGGTGCGTCAATTGGTGCCACAACGCGACCAAACATTATCGAATGAATTGCGCAAACAACAAAACAACGAGACATTGCGTCGTCAATTCGCTGAAAAGGCCAACGTTGTTGGACCATGGATTGAACGTCAAATGGATGCAGTCACATCCATTGGCATGGGCTTACAAGGTTCACTCGAAGATCAATTGTATCGTTTGAAAGAATACGAACAAGCCGTGTTCGCCTATAAACCAAATATCGAAGAATTGGAAAAGATTCATCAAGCCGTTCAAGAATCGATGATTTTCGAAAATCGTTACACGCACTACACAATGGAAACTTTGCGCGTTGGTTGGGAACAATTGCTTACATCAATTAATCGAAATGTGAACGAAGTTGAAAATCAAATTTTGACTCGCGACTCGAAGGGAATCACACAGGATCAATTGAACGAATTCCGATCCAGCTTCAATCACTTTGACAAAAACCGAACTGGCCGTTTGGCACCGGATGAATTCAAGTCGTGCTTAGTATCATTGGGATACTCGATCGGACGCGATAGGTAATGCTAATTGGGTTACATTTTTTGACCGGTGTTTTAAGCTTGTACCTTTTTTTCATTATTTCAGACAAGGCGAATTAGACTTCCAACGTATTTTAGCCGCTGTTGATCCAAATTCAACTGGCTACGTTCACTTTGACGCTTTCTTAGATTTCATGACCCGTGAAAGCACCGACACTGACACTGCTGAACAAGTTATCGATTCATTCAGAATTTTGGCTTCCGATAAGGTACGCTTTTTTATCCACTTAGTTAAACTAAACAACAAAACAAAAAATTAAATTATATTTTCTTTTTTGTAGCCATTTATTTTGCCAGATGAATTGCGTCGTGAATTGCCACCAGATCAAGCTGAATACTGTATTCAAAGAATGCCACCATATAAGGGACCAAATGGCGTCCCGGGTGCATTAGATTATATGTCATTCAGTACAGCGCTCTACGGTGAAAGTGATTTGTAAACAGCTGAAATCATTTTAACGAGAAACAGAAAAAAGCAAAGAAAGCAACAAAAAAATATTCATTTAACTGTACACAATTTGAAAATTGTCACATTTTATGACGAGATGCGAATTTTTCATTCGCAATTATTGGCATAACATCGACTTCATATATTTTTTTTAAATGAAAAAAATCCACACCATGTCTATGTCACCATAAAATATGCAGATTCAAACCATAAATATTGCATGGAAAAACCACAAACTAAACAAACAGAAGCAATTATTCAAACAAAATTGACTTATATTATTTATTTAAAAATATACGAATAAAAGAACAGAACAATTATTATTATTTAATTTAAATGATTTATGATTTTATTTTTTAATTTAAATAACCAGAAAAAAATCTACAAAAAAAAACATTGTGCGATTGATCTAAGCAGTCATTTTATTCGGTATTTCGCACACGAAAAGAAAATTTGAACAAAAAACTCATTTTGATGAATACGAATTGATTACACGAAATCAGAATAATAAGCAAAGAGATCGAATAAATAATTCTTATTATGTATAAATATCAACGCGAATCAATGAAAATAAAGAAAAATTTTGAGAAAAAATCTTTGATTTTTTTATTTTGTCCCGCATACTGATATAAAGTTGTGTCACCTATAGAGCCGCTACTCTTTAACACAAAATACAAATTAGTTGTTTGGCATATATTGTATTAAATACACATAAAAAGCCCGTGAGTACGAAGAGCACCACTACTTTCTCGCATTCAAAGTCCAGAAAAGAACAATTTGTGTAATTATATTCTGCTTGTTTCATTTATGTTGATAAGTGGCAAACGTATATAAATTGTCAATGCAAATGAACAATTTGCATTCAGTGACCGGTTCGCGCATATTTCTATGCCTGATAGCTATGCTAAGCATAGCGGAGACGCAAGCCGCAACGCACCCGTCACCATTCGATTCGAGCTATATTGTATGCGCACGGTCGTCTGGATAAACGAACATGTGTATTGTTCATATAGAGTGAACGGCGATGCGTCGGTTGCGTTTGCGGCTATGCTTGGCATATCTATGCTACCTAGCGTATTAAGGCAAGCATAGAAATATGCGCGAACCGGTCACTGTTTGCATTCACATGCACCAATATACTTTACCAAACGTTGAATGAGAAAGTAGTGCCACTATCTGCTTTGCTTTTTGCACTCATGGAATTTAATGTGTTTATATCCGAATTTCTTCTAACCACGCACTTTAAGTTCACGCTCTCAGATCTGATATGGCAACGGAGCAAAGAAAATAATTTGCACAATGATGATTTGAAGTTGACAATAATCGCTAGTATTATCAATGATGATTTATCATTACCATTGACATTTGTTAGGTTCTAGCATAATGGGATTGGTTTTGAAAACACCTTCCATATTAATTTTAATTTATATTTTTTTCATCTTATCTATACTTATCTCAAAACTAACATCCAAGTGTATAATTTTTCAAAAAAAAAAACATTCACTCAACAACAACATGTCGTTTGTTCTTGTATAGTCGTTTCCAAAAAGATCTGTGTTGTCAAACTAATACAATGAATTTCGGAACACATTTCCATTCAAAAGTACACAAGGCTCCTTAGTTAAACGTGTCAATTTGGTTTGAATTTTGTTGAGGGTATGTTGTTTGTTCAAAATTTTGACAGTTCGCTGTAACAGATCTTATTGAAAACGACTATACTTTATTTTAATTCACCTGTAGAAAGGATAGATAGAGTCTATCGAATCTGAATTAATGAGTAAAAACATGTCGGACAGTTTTTCAAGATATTTACATATGTTTCAATTATATGCATAATATTTATTAATATTGATTCAATTCTACTAATTTTTAAAAACTAATTTGTATGGAAATCGAATGTTATTTCAATTTTCTCTTTTTATTTCGAGCTCATATAATCGAATTAGAGCGAGTATTTTTTAAGCGAAAACCAGACAATATATTTGGATTTTGTCATCTGGATATTTCAGCTCATCTGGATAACGTTAGGTGATGATACGAAATGAAAATAATAGAAGTGATTGCTATAGTTTTGGTAGAATTTTTATACCTACACAGAAACAAATATCCGGGTACGTTTACTCGCACTTGCGGTGTTAACAGAGAGTCTACCCATCAAAATAAGTTACGGACTCTATTTTACTCTATTTTTGGTGTTAATTTCATCCAAGTGAACACATCATAGTGAAAGAAGAAATACATGTGTAGTCATAGCCGCATGCGTTCAACGTACATATGACTACACAATGTATCTCTTCTTTCACTACGATGCGTTCACTTGGATGAAATTAACACAAAATAGAGTAAAATAGAGTGCGTAACTCATTTTGAAGGGTAGACTCTCTGCCAACACCGTAATGGCGAGTAACCGTACTCGGATATCGGATATTTGTTTCTGTGTATACAATACAAAAATCACTTCTATTGTTTTCATTTCGTATCATCGCCTAACGTTATCCAGATGATCTGAAATATCCAGATGACAAAATCCAAATATATTGTCTGGTGAGAAAGAGAGAAGAATGAGAAATATGATCTAACTGTATCAACATCACAATCGTTATGTACCGCAGATATACCGCAAAATTTAAACATTCAATTTGATCGCTTGAGCAGAGTATGCCCAATTGCCCACCAAAAAATTGCAAAGTTGGGCTCAAAACAAACGAATTTCGAAGTATTGAAAGACTTTTTATCATATATATTATTCAAATTTTCAAAGCTGTTTTAATTATGAGGCATTATGTGAATAATTGTTTAACATTTGGTGACAATTCTTAATTAATTGGGCTTAGATAATTGTAAGCCCAATTTGTGTGTAACAGTGTGTGAATTTAAATATTCGTTTAACATAAAAATATGTAATGTGCAAAATTCAATGATAATATTGGCTTGTGTTTTATATTGATTTTGCAGAGTAAAATATTAATTTTATCAAGAATTTATTTATTAAGCTGCGATAGTTCCCTAAAAATCAAATAATACGAAATAGCTGAATTGATAATCTGCAAATAAAAATATTCATGAGAAATCTATTGGTCAGCAATCAGACTAATTGATGATTGAAAATTTTACATTTCCAAGAGCTTCGAGGTTGCAATAAATCATGCCCCATCCAGAGAAGTGGATGTCCTCTTGAGAACGAGTGATAATTATAATAATATACTTCTGAAGTGTTACAGGCAAGTCGTACCATTTCATACTGTATGTAGCATCGCCGATACCTTCAATATGCTCGATACCATTGGATGCATAGAGGCAAAATAGAGCAGTCCAGAGTAAACCGACCAATACGCAAATAATGCTAAAACCAACTGTAACCATATCAAATTCACACTAGACATATAGAAAAAAGAAAGATAGTTATGAATTAAAAATAAAATCTAAATAAGTTTGATAGCGAATATATTTACGTGTTCCAAAGTATATATTGTCATTGCAATAAATATGGCCATTGGTGGTAGAAGCCAAAATATTCCAGTGCTATAAATTGTGGCTATCCAATTAAAAACACTTTAGAAAAATATAAATTGTTATAAGATGCAGCGGTCTAGTTTGTTACATACAATTTACTTACTCATATGTAGTCTCGTAAATTTGAACAAATTGAGAAAATGTTTTATGAATGTTGTTATAAATATTGGCCACTTTGAAAGGTTTTTGTTCAGCCGCTGCTTTGCCAATGTCTCGATCAATTGATGCAGCCAATATATCAATATGTTCACAAATAGCAGCCAAATAGTGATAATAAGAGACAAAATATCCAGTTACTGGTACTAGAATCGACGCAAAAGCAAAACTCATTGACGCGCAGACGAAAAGAAACATGTACCAACCCCATACAGTTTGTGTATCGAACGGCATAGAGAGATTATATGGTAAAACTAATTGTGAGGCGTCAAAATTTCCAATCGCAAGGAGATAAATGGATTTGGCAAATGCTGACACATAAATTGCTTGCTCGAGATGAGTATAACGAGAAACTCTTTCTGTAAATATACGACAGTATTGTTCGCTAGGGTGTAGCATTTTTCAAACATTTTAACGGCGAGGGTAATAACCTTGGCTATGGGATCCCCTGATCACGAATCAGGCGTTTTTTTGCAAAAAAAATATAAACTGAGATGTCACGGGTCAACGGCGAAGTATCAAAAATGGCAAAAATTTGGATTTTTTTGAATTTTTTTAAATTTTTTTGTAAGGCATAAAAATACACTATACTTCCAGTATTGCTTATTTTTATGCTTAAATCATCAGAACAGGTCCCAAATAACACATTCTAGTAGAAAAATTCATTCAAATTCAAAAATTGATACCTTCACCATGGAACAACATTTCATTGAAAATTTTCAAAAATCCTGATTTTCAAAACTATTCACTTCTGAACAACAATTTATGAACATTAAAGGTTTCCTGATCCGTAATGATCAATAATTGTCTGAAATTAACATGGAAATTAATGTGTGCAAAGTATTCCATGTCA